GAGGAGGAGGAGGAGGAGGAGGTGGAGGGAGGAGGAGAGGGAGAGGAGGAGGAGGAGGAGGAGGAGGAGGAGAAGGTGGAGGAGGTGGAGGAGGAGGAGGAGGAGGAGGAGGAGGAGGGGGAGGAGGAGGAGGACGAGGACGAGGAGGAGGAGGAGGAGGAGAAGGAGGAGGAGGAGCACGAGGAGGAGGAGGACGACGAGGAGGGGGAGGAGGAGGAGGAGGAGGAGGAGGAGGAGGAGGAGGAGGAGGAGGAGGAGGAGGAGGTGGAGGAGGGCCAGGAGGACGAGGCGGGGACCTGGGACACACAAATAAATACACACGAATAAAAGTAATCCCCAAATTTCCCTATATTTTCTGGGTTCTCGTCTTCGCCCCCACTTCCCATATTGTTCCATATTTTCCTGGGAGTCAACGATTAATTGTGTCTGTGTGTTCTTCCCTCCTGATCCTCACAGGGAGGCGAGGGGGGGGCCTCTTTCCAACGAAGAGGAGGGGCGCGGGTCGGAAGCCCTGGGCGGCCCAGGGTGGGCGCGTACAGTCAACCCGTAGCATGAGAACGCACGCTAAGGATGCAAGGGCACTTGGAGGCTTTCCCAGCGGGGCGCGGCCAGCGAGTGTGGCCAAGAATGGGCAGGAGGGGCAAGGATGCAGGGGTACCCTTGGGAAGGCTGCCCATCCTTCTTCGGCGGGTCGGCTCTACACTTTTGTCTTTGGAGCGCCGCCGGTGCCCATGAACTTCGTTGTTAATCCCAGTGCAATGATGACGCGTTTGCGCGGGTGCAGGCAGTGATCCGTTGCTTACTGGGGCTCTGCAGGCCGGCGGCCACGACCAGGCGCGGCCCGCCCCAGAAAGCTCGGGGATGGACAGAGACCCAATTCAGCAAAGCGTGTTTTTATAATATAAAAAAGAGGGACCTCCGGCCCGCACCTGGCGGGCGCAAGTCTGGAAGATGACGGCCGCGGCGCCCTCTGAAAGACCGAACACGGGCAAACCACGAACCGACGTGTCGGGGCGGGGGTTCTGCCCACCCCCGAAGCACGATCCTCAGCAGCAAGATTGACACGCGCATCAGAGCGGAGGGAGGCGGAGGGGAACCGACTACCGGCTCCTCTCGCACCTCCTCTCGGGGGCGGCCAAGAGGGGGGTGTCCAAGAGGGAGGGGGGGCTGCACATCATGGCCGGCGGCACGTGCGCGGCCCGAGGGGGGGGGGCCATGGAGGCGCCATGCAGTCTGGGGAAGCATCATGGCCCACGCCATGATACCCCCCCTACTAACATCGGCTACACGCAGGAGTGACCCTGGGTAAGAGTGACCTTTGGTGCGCGACTTTTCGGGGGCCGCGGGGGGACCAAACCTGGGCGCGGAAGCAGCTGTTACTGCCTCGCTTTTAGCCATCTGGGGACCCATCTGTGCCCGCACCAAAGGTCACTCCAGCGAAAGGTCACTCTTACGTCTAGTCGATAACATCACCCGCCTCTTTGCCGCCCCCGATTCTCCGTCTTGGCGCTGACGCTTGCCGGCCAGGCCCAGTGCACTTCCCGGGGACTGGTACCCGCCACCGCGCCTTACGCATATGGAGTGCCCGAAGGCTCTCATGCAGTCACAACAGTTCCATGGGCGCTCTTCGTTTGGCGGCGAACGAGGGGGGGGAATCAGGAGGAGGAGGTCTTCTCAGAAGGCGGCGGGACTTCTCAGAAGCCCTCGCGCTTTCTGAGAAGCTGTTTCTGTTTTCGGGGAAGGCTCAGAAAACTTCTCAGAAGGCCTGGGGACTTCCGAACCTTCTGAGAAGGCCTTCTCTTTCACACTTCCCCCCCTCGCTCGCCGCCGACTGGAGGGCCCGGACCACACAAAGTTCCCAGAATTGCTGGGCTTTGCCGTGAACTCCTAGGGTTTGTCGCAGGGGCCTCTCGGACGGGAACCCCGCCCAAAACGGCCAGAAAAACAACCAGTGTTTCCTGAGAAGCACCCGGGGGGGGTCGACGAGCGCCCGAGACGGCCGCAAAGGCCCCGAGACTGCCACCGATACGATGCCCTCCAGACAGCCCAAGAGGCTCCCAAGAAGCCCCAGGAGAGCTCCAAGAGGCCTCCCAGAGGGCCCCGAGAGGCCAAAATCATTGATCTCACGCGGGTTGTTAAGAGATTTTGACGTTCTTGTCCCCGATTCGGAACCTCCACAGGTCCGGCTCAGGGGGGGCCCGCTCAGGGGAGGGGGACCAGCCTCGAGATGAAGTCGGCGATACGTCGTCGGTGAATCGAACATGGGCCCCGGACACCATAACTGCACGCTCCTTGGCTTGCGGGGGCTACCAGGCCCCTCGGGGCGATGAGTTAACGATTGGGGATTGAAGCATCCGCCCCCCTGGGCATGCGAACGTTTTCTTATCCGTCGTTCTGGTACCGGGCGAAGGGGGGGAGTTGGGGGCTACGGCTCCGAACCTCTGCTCAATGCGACTGCTTGCAACGGTGCGTTCTACGGGGGGAGACTCCACCTGCTCGAGACAGCCGCCCCAAATTAGCCTGGCGAAGGACCCAACCATATGCACTTGTGAATACCGCAAATCTGAATCTCGTTTTCGGTGGCGCTACCTCTGTGCAGGAGAGACGCATGCGAACACCCCCGATGGAGCCTTCGGTGGAGCTCCCTATGGGGCTACGAAGCGCTGCCCTGGGTAAGGGGAAACGCATGCGGGCAGCCCTACTGGGGCCTTCGGTGGAGCTCCCTATGGGGCCACGAAGCGCTGCCCTGGGTGGGGGAACCGCATGCGGGCAGCCCTACTGGGGCCTTCGGTGGAGCTCCCTATGGGGCTACGAAGCGCTGCCCTGGGTGGGGGAACCGCATGCAGGCAGCCTGGTTGAGTCCTTCGGTGGAGCCCCCTATGGGGCCATGAAACGCTGCCCTGGGTGGGGGAACCGCATGCGGACACCCCCACTGGGGCCTTCGGTGGAGCTCCCTATGGTGCCACGAAACGCTGCCCTGGGTGGGGGAACCGCATGCGGACACCCCCACTGAGGCCTTCGGTGGAGCTCCCTATGGGGCCACGAAGCGCTGCCCTGGGTGGGGGAAATGCATGCAGACACCCCACTGGGGCCTTCGGTGGAGCTCCCTTTGGGGCTACGAAGCGCCCTGGGTGGGGGGAACCGCATGCGGACAGCCCCACTGGGGCCTTCGGTGGAGCTCCCTCTGGGGCTACGAAACGCTGCCCTGGGCGGGGGAACCGCATGCAAACACCCCCATGGGAGCGTTTAGTGGAGCTCCCTATGGTGCCACGAAACGCTGCCCTGGGTGGGGGAACCGCCGCATGCGGACACCCCCACTGGGGCCGTCCGTGGAACGCCCTATGTGGCCACGAAACGCTGCCCTGGGTGGGGGAACCGCATGCGGACACCCGCACTGGGGCCTTCGGTGGAGCTCCCTTATGGGGCCACGAAGCGCTGCCCTGGGTGGGGGAACCGCATGCGGACACCCGCACTGGGGCCACGAAGCGCTGCCCTGGGTGGGGGAACCGCATGCGGACACCCCCACTGGGGCCTTCGGTGGAGCTCCCTATGGGGCTGCGAAGCGCTGCCCTGGGTGGGGGAACATCATGCGGACACCCCCACTGGGGCCTTCGGTGGAGCTCCCTATGGGGCTAAGAAGCGTTGCCCTGGGTGGGGGAACCGCATGCGGACACCCCCACTGAGGCCTTCAGTGGGGCTCCCTATGGGGCTACGAAGCGCTGCCCTGGGCGGGGGAACCGCATGCGGACACCCCCACTGGGGCCTTCGGTGGAGCTCCCTATGGGGCTACGAAACGCTGCCCTGGGTGGGGGAACCGCATGCGGACACCCCCGCTGGGGCTTCAGTGGGGCTCCCTATGGGGCGAAGCGCTGCCCTGGACGGGGGAACCGCATGCGGACACCCCCACTGGGGCCTTCGGTGGAGCTCCCTATGGGGCTACGAAACGCTGCCCTGGGTGGGGGAACCGCATGCGGACACCCCCGCTGGGGCCTTCGGTGGAGCTCCCTATGCGGACACCTCCTTTGGGGCCTTCGGTGGAGCCCCCTATGGGGCCACGAGACGCTGCCCTGGGTGGGGGAACCGCATGCGGACACCCCCACTGGGGCCTTCGGTGGAGCTCCCTATGGGGCTACGAAACGTGTGAGAGGTGTGCCGAGAGCAGAGGCAAGGAGGCGGAGGAGGGAGGAGGGGGAGGAGGGAAGGAAGAAAGGAGGAGGAAGGAAGGAGGAACACGGGGCACCGCCTCTTCAAAACGAGGACCCAACACCACAGGATGGTTGGGGACAAAAAACAGCCAAGATCTACTCCGGGGGGGGGAAGCTGGTGCGAGGGCACGCGCCGCTCGGCAACGCAGTGAATCCCACCAGCCCTCTGGGCGCAAGTGGTCTAACGATGACTTTTCTGCACTCTGCCAAAAACCGTCTTCCCCTTCTGGGAGGGGCTTACTTCTCAAGCCTGGATTTAAGCAGGTGCGCAGGGTGCGTGGCAGCGCTGTGCGCCACAGGAAGGAGGAGGAGGCGGAGGAGGAGGAGGAGGAGAAGGAGAAGGAGGAGGAGGAAGAGGAGGAGGACGAGGAGGAGAAGGAAGGAGGAAATGGAGGAGGAGGATGAGGAGGGGCGGGGGGGGCGGAGGAGGAGAGAGGGCAGGAGGTCAGAGGTCCTCCTCATTATCATCCTCGCTCCTTCTCCTTCTCACTGCCCTGCTCTGACACTATGCGCCCTTGCTCCCCCCCTCGCCCCCCTCGCGCCCGCCTTCCTTGTTGTCGACCACCCTCCTGTGAGTCCGTATCCTCATCAGCCTTACTATTTTTTCTTCTCCTCCATCCACCCTTATTATTATTCTTATTCATATTCTTATTATTCATCGTATTCTTCTTCTGCCCCTGCTAACGTCATTATAGTATTTATGCTGTTTGTTCCCCTCCTCATTTTTCACGGTGTCCTCCTCCTCCTCCTCCTCCTTCTCCTCCTCCTCCTCCCCCATCCTCCTCCCCTCCTCCC